AAAAAAAAAAAAAAAAAAACCAAAAAAACTCATGGCCTTTTACACGCCGGCCGCTATCTGAAAACGATTTGAGCTTTCCATCATCCAAATAATATCACGTCCGCTGCCCATCACAGTTATAAACTTATAATAGTAGTATTCAGTCAGAATCATCCAAATGTCGATAATTTAAGTAGAGATTTAATTTACATAAATTATTAATTTTGAATAAATACTAAATATGGACACGACTTCATATGTTAGCAAGAGTTTAAGTTTTTTAGTTTGGGATACAGGTTAGGGTTATTATCCCACCGAAATAGTTAAGTTACATCTTATTTAATCTAATTATTTACTATATTTTTATAATATATTTTTAAACAATTTTATATTGCTTTATTTTTTAATAAATTTAAAAATATAATAATTAATTAAAATAGAAAATATAATATTAATAATTAAGATATGACAAGAATATTATCTTAAAATACATATTAAGGATTTGTTTGGTACAGCGGTTAAAACTTAGCGGATAGTGGATAGCAGTAACTGGTAACAAGTGGCGATTAATTGATAAATATAACTGTTTAATTAAACAATAATTAATGGCTATTATTTAATATTGAATGACTAATAAGAATATGTTTAAAAACAATTAAGTGTATTTTTAAAAAATATATTTTATTTTTTATTATTAAAATTATTAATTTTATAAAAAATAATGAGAAAATAAAAAATAAAATTAAAACTTATTAGATAAATATTAATTAAAAAATGTGACCAAAAATTAAAAAATTAAAATGGATAAATTTGTCAATAAAATTAAAAATTTTCAATCTGCTAGCAGTTTGGTACAAAAAGCTACCTAAACTAGTTTTTCAATCCACTAACAGTTTAGATTTTAACAACTATCTTTTAGTTTCAAATCACTAAATAAAAATTTTACCAAGTACCTTGTTTATAGCAATTTCTAGCTATATGAGTTTACCAAATATCTATACTTAGCGATGTAAATAAAACTGCTAACCACTATCTCAAATTTGTTATACTAAACGAACCCTAAAAGTGTAGCAAGTAAGAGTTTGAGATTACTAAATAAACATTAATGAATTAATAAAAAAAAGAGTGTTACCAAGAATTTTTTTAGTAATTTAATATTTAAAATGTACTTTTAATGTAAAATTTGATTTAAAAAGTTTTTTTTCCATTACTAAATATATATCATCATCATTTAAAGGCTAGATTTAAAAATTAATACAATATTTTTAAAAATTAATTTATAAAAATCTATATAGATTTGGTTTACAAATAATAATCTCAGTTTAATATGTAATAAGTAGATTATAGTATAGACAATCCTATATATAAATCTCATAATTTAAGTTTTGCAACAAAAATAATATAGTTACAATGGTATCATAATATTGTAAATTTATTTTTCATTTATTTAATTTTAATAAATTTAACTTTTAATTTAAAAT